GGGGGGGACAAGCTGGGCTGGTTTTGGGATGCGGTAGGGGAGGGGAGATTTTGAATCTTGTGAAGTCCACATTGATACCATTGGGCTGCAGGGTTCCCAAGCGGAATATGATGTGCTGTTCCTGCAACCTTCGGGTGGCATCGTTGTGGCACTGCAGGAGGCCCAGGATGGACATGTCGTCTGAGGAATATGAGGGGGAGTTGAAATGGTTTGCAACTGGGAGGTGCAGTTGTTTAGTGCGAGCACCTCCCATTCCTCAGACGACCTGTCCATCCTGGGCCTTCTGCAGTGCCACAACGATGCCACCCGAAGTCACTTTGACTGACAACGAGTGCTGAAATGACACTTACATAATGAATCCGGTGCAATATATTATTTAACTTGCATTTTACCTGGAGGGTTTCCCAAGGCATGGGAAGTCCAGTTGGCACAGGTTTGCAGTAGGAGCACTACAAAACAAGAAATACACAGACATGTTAAAAGGTTTTACTGACTGACAATTTCCTGTGAGTGGATTAGTTGCCCCATTAATACCAGACACTTTTGAATTAGGCTGGGGTCCTGTTTCAGATTCTTAATCTCTTTTAGCCTCCCACTTGGCCCAAACTCATCCATTTTGGTGAACTAAAATTACCTTGTAAATAGCTCCAGATCTGCCGGGCTTTTTCACAATTCTCAGGGAATTATATTGTTAAATGTTGTTTTTAAAAAGGAACTGTTTTTGACAGTGAAAAAAAATTCCTAATATAAGCTTCATGAATTTACAGCATTTGAATTAAACTTGAATGCCATGTTAAGTAGCTCTCGTGTTAACACATCACAAATATAAGAAACAATTTTAATGCTTTTTCTATATTATCAGGTATTTATTTCGTAGCCTTCAAGGCACAATGTCTGCATCTTGCATTTTCAAAGCTCAACAACTAGACAAATTGGACAGGGAACAACGTGCTCGAACCATCAAACACTGGAAAGGCCTTGACATCTCAGCAAATAATACCTCGTCTTGAACAGGTTCTGCAGATCAATCACCAGTTGAAAATGTCAACCGCCCTTGTACAGTGGGCGAGTAATTATGATCCTCAATTTATTTCTTCCAATCCAGTGGGGATAGTGAAAATGCAGAATTCTGTCAATAGTGTGTGAAAATCAGGAGTCACAGGAAAAAGATACAAAATGGAACTGATGAGGATTCCGGTGAAGCTACACATTCACAAATAGCTTTGGAAAAAAGATAAACTTTTTCTCCTCCCTCTCAGTCAATGCTAAATCCTGAATAAAAGCAGCCCCAAGCCTTAAAAGAACATCTCATCTTTTGAGAATTACTTTTTGTGTCAAATAAACGAAAAATTCAGCCCTCATGCAAAGTTTTGAAGGACCTTGCCTAGGAATCTCAGGTTTTCTATCTTTTCACGTAAGGAAGACAGCATGAACTGAGTGAATCTACCAATTGTGCCATTAATATTTGTTTATCTTTATGACTGTCAGCTAGTTCTTAATTGTGCCAATTTAAATGTTTGAGAAAATAGAGAAATATACTTTTGCTTAATACGCTGCATAACATAATTAACCGTGAGTTCATTGATTTGATAAGAACTTAGACATGAAATTTATCTTAAATCCCAAAAACAGAATCATTGAAATGCGCAAGACTGTGGATGGTAAAATCTGAAATAAGACCAGAAAATGTTGGAAATACTGAACAGGTTGATAGTACCTAAAGCATGAGGAACAGAGTCAATGCTTCAAGTTCTGGTTCTGATGTAAAGTCACATACAAGAAATGTGAACTCAGTGAATGGAATATTATCAGAGTCTGAATGACATGCGTTTTAGAAAGATTTATGACCAAATCGTGGTAAAGGACCAGCAAAGTCAACCTCGATGTTAGGAGCATAATGTGCATCCATTTAAGCTTTTGACAAGCAGTGTGGTGAGATTCTCACTGGGTAGCGGCAACTTGATAAATTAAAGGGGATTATTGCTTGTTAATGGCACAACTTGTCTCATTAATATTGAGCTTCCTATTTTATCAAATGTGCCAAACAAACTTGATGTCAAGTATTCTCAATGCAGGCACCTGACAACTTCAGCTCCTTGGTCACACACACCCCAGATCTGTGGACTTTGGTATCAGTTATGTGCCAGCATCTAAGAGCTCTCACGCCACATGTCCAATCTGCTTATGGGACACTGTGTGCCTAGGGACATGCACATAGCTCATGAACTAGACCAGGCCGAAACTCTGGGCTTTGCGCTAGCTGTCATAGTGTACACTCACTGTGAGACTACCTGAATACTCACAGCATTTCTGCCTTACATTGCCTTGTCTGCCCTGCCTGTGAGCACTTTGCCACTTCAGCCAGAGCTCCCAGGCTCATTGAACTTCTGTCTCTTTTTGCAATTTAGTGCAGAGCGAAGTCAGGATGCATGTCATGATTATCAGCAAGCCTTAGTTAGGTCAAGGAGGATGGACTCCTCAGTTGGGGGTTGGTAGTGGCTGGTCCCCACACAGGAAGAAAATAGTTCATGGCTCACAGCAAAGACACATCCCAGTGACAATGAATGATTCTAGGAAGGGTGTAAGGCAGAGGACTTGGAAAGTTTTAAAAAACAACAAAAGATGATCCATAAAAAGATAAACTTTTAAGGTAAACTTCAAGTGATATCAAAATGAACAGCAAGAGTTTCTTCAAATGTAAGAAAAGGAAGAGAGAAGTCAAAGTGAGCGTAAACCGCTTAGAGAACAATACTGGGGAAATAATAATGGGGAATCAGGAAATGGCAGAGATGAACAAATACTTTGCATCAGTTAGTACTACTGCCTTACAGCGGCAGGGACCCAGGCTCAATTCCAGCCCCAGGTGGCTGTCTGTGTAGAGTTTGCACATTCTTTCCATGTCTGTGTGGGTTTCCTCTGGGTGCTTCGGTTTCCTCCCACAGTCCAAAGACATGCAGTTTGGGTGGATTGGCCACACTAAATTGCCCGTAGTGTTCAGGGATGTGTAGGCTAGGTGGATTAGCCATGGAGAAATGCAGGGTTAGGGTAAGGGGTTGGGTCTGGGTGGGATGATTTTTGGGGGGTTGGTGTAGATTTGATGGGCCGAATGGCCTGCTTCCACACTGTAGGTATTCTTTGATAATGATTCTATAATTCTGTAAGTGGCAGAAAGAGAAGAGGGAATGAATATAATCACTATTACTACAGACAAAGTGCTAGACAAACTAATTGGACTAAAGACTGATAAGTCCTCTGGACCTGATGGGATACCTCCTAGGATTTTAAAGGGAGTAGCAACAGAAATACTGGATGAACTGGTAATAATAATCATCTAAGAAATCTTAGATCCTGGAAACATCCCAGAGTATTCACCAATGTTGGAACTTTAATTAAAAAAGGAAGGAGACAAAAAACAGTAATTATAGGCCAGTTAACCTAGCATCTGTTATTGGGAAAGTTTTAGATACCATGATAAAGGATGCAACAACAGAGTATTTGGAAGTACATAAAATGATCAAGCAGCATCAGCATGGCTTCATGAAGGGGGTAGCATGGCTGACAAATTTACTAAAGTTCTTTGAGGACATAATGAGCAGGATAAATAAAGTGGAAGCAGTGGATGTATAATGTTTAGCTTTTCAGAAGCTTGATAAAGTAACACACATTAAGGCTACTTGGTAGCATAAAAACTCACGGTGTTGCAGGTAATATATTACTAGGATAGAGGATTAACTAACTAATAGAAGACAGAGATTTGTGATAAGGGGGACATTTCCAGGATAGCAACCTGTAACTAGTGGAGCGCCACAATGTTCAGTGCTAGGGCCACAATCATTTATAATATATATTAACTTGGATGAGGAAATGAATGTACTATAGTTAGGTTTGCAGATGATGCAAAGTTAGTTGGGTAGCAAGTGGTAAGGATAACACAAAGTCTGCAGCAGTATATGGACAAGTTAAGTGAGTAAGTAGAAACTTATCAGATGGAATATAATCGGAACGTAGGAACAGGAGTAGGCCATTCAGCCCCTCAAGCCTGTTCTATCATTTAATGAGATCATAGCTGATCTGTGATCTGACTCCATATACTTGCCTTTGGCACATGTCCCTTGATAAATTTGCTTAACAAAAATATACCTATCTCAGATTTAAAACTAACAGCTGATCTAGCATCCACTACCATTTCTCGAAGAGATTTCCAAACATCTACCACCCTTTGTGACATCTCTCCTGAATGGTCTGGCCTTAATTTTTGGACTGTGACTCCCCAGTTCTAGAATCACCTATCATCTACCAAACCTATCTTTTCCTGTTAATTTCTTGAAGACTTCAATCAGATCACTCTTTAACCTTCTAAATTCAAGAGAAAACAGGCCTAATTTGTATAATCTCTCCATATAAGTTAACCCTTAAGTCCAGAGATCATTCTTGTAAACCTACATAGTACTCCCTTCAAGGCTAATATACCCAAGCACCCAAGGCTTCCTAAGATATGGTGCCCAGATCTGCTCACAGTACTTCAAGTGAGGTCTAACCAGGGTTTTGTATAACTGCAGCATTAATTCTGTATACTTATATTCCAGTGCCTTAGACAGAAAGGCCAGCATTCTGTTGGCTTTCTTGATTATTTTCTGCACCTGTTCATAGCATTTTGAAGTGTGGGAAACTGTGAAATTGTGCACTTTATCAGGAAGAATAAAAGAGCTGAATGTCATTTAATTGGATAAAACATGCAGAAAGCTACAGAACTGAGGGATTTGGGAGTCCTCATCAACGAACCACAGAAAGCTAGCATCTGAGTTCAACAGGTAATGGGGAAGGCAAATAGAATTTTGGGCATGTTTTAAAATGAAATAGAGTACAAAAATGGGAGGTTTTGCTAAAACTATACAAGGCACTAGTCAGACCACAGCTGGAATACCATGAGCAGTTCTAGGCCCTTTATATATAAAAAAGATATGTTGGCATTGGATGCAATCCAGAGAATTTCACCATGCTGGTAAAACAAGGGCCATCTTTTCTTTTTTTTCTTTATATGCCGAAAAGTTATCACACACAACTGAATAGGTTTTTTCCCACCACCAAACTGTCCATGGTACTTTTCACCTATTATCTGCCACCACTAAATCATCCGTGTTTTCCAATGAATTAAATTATTGCAGATTGCCCAACAAGGGCAAACCAGATCACCAAGAGCCTTGTGTTTCTTTTCTTAATATCAGAAATGTCCTTCCACCAACTGAACAATTTCTTCCCTCATCACCAAATCACCCACATTTTTTCTTCACCTATTAACTACCACCAATAAATTACCCATGTTTTCTAACTGATTAGTTAACATGCAAATCCCATTAAGAGCAATGCAGACCATCAAAGGTATGAGAGTGAGAGAGAAAGAGAGAGAGAAAGCGAGAGATAGAGGGCTAAATCAAATTTGAATTGGAAGAGGTCAAGAACATTGTCTATTTTTCATTTTCTTTTACATCTGGAAGTGCTCTTATACACAACTGAATATTACTTTTTCCATCACCAAACCACCCATGGATTTTTCTTTCATTTATTTACCACCACCAGTATTCACCTGCACTTTCCAATTAATTAACCTGAGGACAAAACCTGTTAAGGGCAATGCAAACCATCAAAGGTGAGGGAGAGTGGGAGGGGCTAAATCAAACTGGAGTTGGAAGTGTGTCGAGAAGCATTGTCCACACTCTGGTTAACTGTTGGCAGCTGCAGCAGCCAATGTTATGTGTTCCCTGCCCCACTCATTAACATTGCTGTATAAGTCAACACTCATTCTTAGCAGTGACTAGCATCATAACTGGACTGCTTTTTGTTTCCAAAACATTTATTTGGTTTTATTTTACTGTCTCTCTCCATTTAACCATTTGCTTTTAAAAAAAGTGAAGACATGTAAACTCATAACGTTTCAAAATATTCCTGCACATTACCTCTGAAATTGGAACATTTAGATCATTTCTAAATCAAATTTGGAGAAAATTCAAAAATAAATTCACTACCAATCCGTGCAGCTGAGTCACATCATAAATGGAGAGATAAATAAATATAATTCTCAGGGAAACAAAGTTTTGGTTTTTAACTTGTGTGAGTAATGTATCTAGCTTAGATTGTTTAATTTATTTTGTAGAGATTGAAGGAACAAAACAAGCTGTTTACAGTAATGAAAAAATAAGTTTCTTTAACAGAATTGTAATTTAAGTCGACTTTCATTCTTGAAATTGTAGCAATCAGAAACAGTAATTGGGAATGTTGGTGAGTTATTAACTGTAGGCCAGCTTGC